CTCTTGTAAGTGATCTAAGAAAGCAGAGGGGTGTTCACTTTTTGGTGGGGGGGGGCTCCGTCTCAGCCGTCAACAGAGCACCCACGCCAATTGTTTCTCCAGCCTCCCAACGCATTGGGACCCTGCAACCACTTAGTGTCCTCTCCCCAGCTGTCAACACAGGCGGCAGGAATATGTGGATGAAGTCCTCGGCCCGCTAGTCAGTCTCAGCACCATCAGGTGCCAAGTGTCCCAGGCAGGTAACCTAGGCACACATACCTTCTCCGTGAAGGCGGTTCTTCAGAATCTGAACACTGGGCACCCATGTAATCCATGAAGTCTCGGTGCAGACCTCTCCGGAGCTCTACACACTCCTCCACCGCAGCCTGTACAGTTGGGGAGAATGGCTTCCAGGGGATCTCCCCAGGTATTGCACAAGGTCCTCCTGGTTTCCAGCTCCCGAACGGCTCTCGCCTCCTTAGTCAGCTTGACCTCTGAGTCATCAGGCGTCATCTGTATTCTCATGTTCTCCAAGTCCTTGTTCAACAGCTGCTCCTCCACTGACTCCGGACCTTTCTGGTTCTCAAGGGCAGGGCCAAGAGTGACCCATTGTGTGGCATGTTTTCCCAGGGGTTTCTCCATGTCAGGATGGTTCTCACACAGCCCTGGGCAGGCCTCTGCAGCTGGCACGGAGTGGGCCAGTTGTGTCAGTGCTTCTCTGTGGTATGATAGTTCTTGACTGCACGGCGGCACGCGCCGCTGCGCTGCTTCCAGGTGCCTGCTGCCTAGTTCCCGGACACCAGCTGTTATCTCTTCTGCTTGCAGTTTTCCCTTAACAAGTATGTACTGACTTTCTTTGTCTCTTTTGATCAGTCTTGGCTTGAAGTTCACATTCTCTGCAAATTGAATAGCTACCCTGCTGTTTTCTGGATTCCTGTCACATGGAGTATCATTTTCCATCCTTTGACTTTCAATGTATGAATTTCTTTTTGAGTTAAGTGTATTTCTTGTATGCTGGATATTATTGGATCTTGATTTTTGATCCATTCTGCCAGTCTGTTTCTTTTGATTGGTGAGTTAAGACCATTAACATTGATGGTTATAACTGATACCTATTTATCCTTCTTATAGTATTTTGCTGTTGTTGATAACCTGTTTTTTCCCCCCTTTATTTAATTGCTTTCTCTGCCTGGTGGCTTCTTTCTGTTGGTTCTGTTGGAATTATCTCTTTCTAAAATATCCTTCAGAGCATTCTGGAGAACTGGTTTGGTGGTCATGAATTTCTTCAGTTCTTTTTATGGAAGTATCTTATTCCTCCATTGATTTTAAAAGATAGTTTTGCAAGTATATCAGGTTGGGTTGGAGGTTGTTTTCTTTCAGGGCTTGAAATATTTCACTCCAAGCTCTCCTTGACTTACAGGTTTGTGTTGAGAAGTCTTCTGTGATTCTAGTGAGTTTCGTTTATAGGTAATTTGTTTATTTTTGCTTTTAATATTCTATTCTTATGCTGAATTTCTGGAATCTTGATTATTATATACCCTGGTACAGATTTTTTTAGTCATGACTATTTGGAGTTCTATATGCTTCATTCATTGTATGTCAAATTCTTTATCCATGTTTGGGAAGTTTTTTACCATTACTTTTGTGAAGAGGTTTTTTGTGGCATTGGTGCTATCTCCAGCTTTCTCTTTGACTGATCAATCTTATATTGTTCTTTGCTTCATCATGCAACTGTTTGATTTTTCATAGTCCCTTCCTATTTTTAAGATATGTTTTCATAGTCACTAACCACAGCTGTGCTTCTAGATATGATATCCCATCTTCACCTTAGTTTAATCTGTTGTACTTTCAGTGGAATTTTTGTGTCTTCTAAATATGTGTTTGGCTCTGTTTCATGGCTTCCATTTCTGTCATATATTGGGCATTCATGGTTTCCATCATTTTCCTGAACTGTTTTATTTTTTTTTTAATCTGTGTCTACTCTGGATTCATTGGGCATGTCTTTCATTTTGATCATCTTTTTTTTTTTTACCTGATTCTTCTTTCTATAACCATCTCTATGTGTTTTTCTTTAACTTCTACTGCTATCATTTCAGAAATTTCTAGTGTGTGGCTTCTGATTTCTTCTATCTCATTGTGCTCTGGACTTGTCCTGGTTAGGCTGGAGTTCTGGGGTTACATTTCCTTCTGTGTCTTCTCATTTTCTATTTTGTTTTATTTTCTGTGTTGATGCTTGCTGATTTCTTATGGTAGATTGCTTTATCAGTAGTATCAAGGCTTCCCTAGAAAATGTCAGAGACTTTTTTAGGTGTAGGTGGTTTTTGTTCTTTTTGTCTGTTCCAAGATTCTACCTTCCCAATTTATTAACAGTGAGATTTTGCTATCTGTTTGTCTCAGCATGAAGTCCTTTAGAGGTGGACTATGGTGATGGTTATGACCTCAGACAATTACAGTATCATTATTTAAGAGAGAAGAAGTGATTATATCTGGTATGACATTGTGACTAAAGTAGTACAGTTAGCAGTAACAATAGCATCAAACACAGCCTAGAAACTAATAAACGGGCAACTTTTAATTTAGTACCTTTAACCATAGGGGCAAGATCTACAGTTATATAACAAAACCAAACATAAATCAGGAGCTTGTATGCAGTGAGTTTCCCCCTAGTACAGTGATTTTTACCCTGTGGTGGAGAAATGTAAAAGGTAGGGGGACAAAACAGAGAGATAAATGAAGAGAAATATAGTTGAAGCAAAGCTGGAGGACAAAGGATGATCACGCAAGCTTTTGGAAACTGGTGAAGAGAGCAAGTGAGAAAAAATAAAGGAGAATGCAAAAGATTATCAAGAGAGATAGTTGAGGAAAGAGAGAAAGAAGATAAGTAGAACAGAAATATATGTATAAACCCCCCAAAACAAAACAGAAAAACCAGCCAGACAGAAAAAAAAACAATACACACCAGCAGGGAAAAAAAGGAAGAAAGGAAAATTCCTCTGGTGTCCACTGTTCAGTGGTGCTGTCCAAATCAGAGCCCCACCAAGCCTGCAGTAGGATTAGTGCTAGATAGGGGGCTGATCTTGGCCTCCGGAGGTGTGGGGGTGTAGCCAGTCTTTAGCCAGCAGATTTCTGGATGGCCCACCCACATCTCCTTACCCTGTTTGTCTCTGTGTTGCACTCCTAGTTGCTGTGGTGCCGTCAGACAGAGATAACTCAGAGCTGCTCCTAGACCTTTGTACAGTAGGCCCTCCTGGACTTTGTACAGCCTGAGCTGTTCCACACTGCTTGGCTCCCCTCACACACTGCCCTGCTTCTCTGTGATCCCAAGTTGGAAGGAGTGATGACTTCCTGGCTCAAGGGTGCTTGTGCTGCTGGTCACAGTGTTGGGGCGTGCTTGGTTCCCACTCTGTCCCTACAGCCCTGCACTGCTGGTTGCGAGTCAGAGGGGGTGCTGACTTCTGAGCCCAAGGGTGTTTGTGCCCCTCATTGCAGGTCACGGGGTGGCTAAGTGCTAATCACCCACTCCTTGTGCACTCCCCACTGCTGCAGGTTCCAGCCACGTCCCATGGTCAAAATCCCTTGCACTGGTTGTAGGACAGCAGGGTCATGTTGTTTCACCACCAGTCTTATGCCGTGGCTGGTCCCTAACCTTGTTGTCACTAGAGGTTCCAGTTAGCAGTTATTATGCTGTGCAGTAGAGAAGCAAACAGAAAACACAGCAGCAGGCTGCCAATGGGGAAGGAGCAGTCACTTGCCCCTGTTTGTGCCAGTGAAATTTGTTTCAGGCTGCAGTGTCCTCTGTTGGCAGGAAATCGAAAGAGATGAAGGGCCTTACATTCTCGATCTGTCCTATGTGGACTGAGTGTGCCGCACATTTGCACTCTCTCTGTTTTTTGAGGACCTTCCTGAGAAGGACAGTTCCTGCTCTGATCCCACCAGTGGTAAACACAGGCATCCCTGTGGGCTGCACCATCGTTTTATAAAGTCCCACACCTGTGTTTTACGTGATCTGCAGGTCTCTCATTTCAGATCAGTTTTGACATCAGGATGTATGTCCCGCCCTTTCTTCCGATTACCAATGTTTTTAGTTGATTTTCTTTGAGAAGCTCCAATATAACTCCTTTATTCAGCCATGTTGAATCTCCAGCTGTTCTTTATATAGAGTAGAAAGTACATAGCAGCTAAAGAGTGAACCAGATCCACGTGGAGAAATTAAAAAACAAAGTGTTCATGATTTTGGTTTCTAAAGTGGAAACAAAGAGGATATTGGCCTGGGAAAGGTACAAAGGCATCTTCAGCTTGTCTGTCTCCCCAGCTGGCCCTCTGGTGCTGGGGATTGAACCAAAGGTACTTACCAGCTATATCTCCAGCCCTTTTTTATTTTGAAACAATATCTCACTAAGTTGCCTGGGCTGACCTCAAACTTTGAATCCTCCTGTCTCAGACTCAGTAGCTGGGATTGTAGGTATGTACCACCATACCCAATTTTATTTGCCATTTTAAAAAATAGTAGTAAAATATACATAAAATTTAACATTTTAAAGTTGAGGGTGTTAAGCAGCATTTAGCAGTTATTAGCACCGTCTCTGGAACTTCATCATTTTACTAAAATTCTGCCTATTAAACAGTGGTGTCCCATTCCCTGTTATCCCCTGAGCCCCTGCAACCACGGTTCTACTTAGTGTCTTGATTTTGGCTATTTTGGAGTCTTTATACAACAGTAATATGTAATCATATATTTGTCCTTTTGTAACTTATTTTACTTAGTATAAGATCCTCAGGATTCCTCTATGTTATAGCACAAGTCAGAATTTCATTCCTTTTTAAAGTTAATTTTCCATTCTTAAATATTTAATGTGTTTAAATTTTAGTTGATGATTATATATTATCATTCATTGGCACCTTTTGATTATTATCATTGGCATGCCAAAAACTTTCCAAAGGAGTTGGCTGATTTAATAAGATACAAGGAAAAGTTTATTCTTGTGATTCAGATAATTCACTGTGATTTATTTCCACATCAGTGTGACTGCAACGAGGGAGAACTTGGCGTACACTGTGGAGTGCCTGCGGGACGACGTGTGAGTACCTGCGTGTGCAGTAGAACATTTCCTTTTGAAAGAGCACTGAGCTTCGGAGTTCATCTTTCTTACGTCAGTATGACCTGTCACTTGGTTGTGTGTTACTGTTCAGACTTTGTGCACACAGCACTGCTTGGCACAAGGACGCAGTACAGAGGACATGATAGGTACAGAGAGTTTTGAGTGTTGGCCTGTAACCCTTACCTGGATGTTTTCTACAGTGAGATTTTAATGGAGTTCCTGCTAAATGTCACCACAGCACCAGAATTCCGTCGTTGGGAAGTAGCTGACCTTCAGCCGCAGCTAAGAATTGACAAAACTGTGGCTTTTCAGAATCCACAAACTCGTGAGTATATTTCATATTAGCCGATTTCTAGCATAGATGCTTTTTGAGAAGATTGATTTATATAGGAGAAAATTGCTGTTGAAATATTTTTCTACTTGAGTTTAAAAATATCTTTTCCAAACATTTGCTCAGTTATTCCAGAATACTATTCTTTTATTTTTAAACATTTGTATATGTTGTTATTTTTCATGTTTCATGGTAAACAAATTGATTATAGACTCCTAGGTGGTTTTAATACAGTAGTTACTTTGCTTACACCAAACCCAGCAATAGTTTATTTTTGCTGTTTCTGTTGTTACTATTACTCATGGTTATTACTATTTATGGTTGTATTGCTGTTATTGTTCAATCAGCTCCCCTTTACTGAGTCTTTCAAAAGCAAGCAGCTCAGTTTTTTAAAAATAAGAACTTTCTTGTGTTCATATTTTTAAGTTTTTATAATATTTAGTATATAATCTTTATAACTGACCAAAAAAATCTGTAAACAAGCACTGCTGACTCTTAGAAGTAATGCATCTTCTGATAGGAGCAGAAAGTGTAGGGCTATAGCATGGCATGTGCTTTCCAGAGAATGCAGACCTGCTGAGAAAGCTCTTGCCAGGCGCCTGGAACACAGTGAATGTTTAGTTCATGCTGCTGATGTTATTTCATAGTGATGCTTCGTTTCACAGAGAATTACAGTCTGTGTTGCTTATGGTAAAGTTGTAGAAAAGATGATGTCTGTATCCAGAATGGCCTCTTCCCCATTGGTAGCAGTGAGGTTCCAGCCCTTGTCCTTTGTCACTGGACAGTAACTTGGGTTTACAGCTTTAGTCTGTTATTATTTTATTTTAAATTGGTACATAAAAATTACATCCTTCATGGGGTACCATGAATGCTTCAGTATACATTTTGTAAAGTTTAAATCAAGTAAACATCTGTCTCTTCAAGCATTTACTATTTCTTTATTGTAGAAACTTCAGAAATCCTTTCTTCTAGCTTTCTGAAATTTAAAGTCCTACTTCTTGTTTCTTTATCTTTTTACCTTCCCAGCAGTGATTCACCTCAATCAGACTGCTCCTATAGTTTATGCCTTTGTTCTGTCTGTCTCCATCATTCCTTTGATGCAGATCCCAAATCATATACCTAGCAAACACTCTTTGTGCAAGACTTATCCCATATATTACTTCTTTTACTCTTTTGCTGTTCCCACTTCCTTCCCTAACGCCCCTACTGCACTTTTGACATACTGCCGACATTGTACCTGGATACTTTATTGCGTGTTTTCCTCTCTCAACATTTTGAGGGTAAGGCACAGATGCTTACCTCTGTGTCTGTGAGAAGCACAGTGCCTGCCATGGGGAAGCTGCCCCAACTGTGAACAAATACAGGAAGTGTAACTGTAGTGAAGGCACCAGAGCAGGAAGGGGAGCACAGTGCCGTGGCCCCAGTGAAGAGCAAGTCCAGTCAGTGATAGCACCTGACCCCTCCAAACTAGTAATATCATCTAAGACTGACATTTCATGGCCCCTATCCTAACAATGCTCTCATTACCTAAAGAGAGATTAGAAGTACGCAAAATTCAGGCTGAGTTGGGCTTGATGGCACATTACCTGTAAACCTGTAATCTCAGCACTCATGAGACTGAGGCAGGACTGCTGAAAGTTGGAGGCCAGCTTGGACTACATAGAAAGCTCAAGACCAGCCTAAAACTACATAGCAAGACCCCTGTCTCAAAAAAAAATTTAATTAAATGACTTGCCTGAGGTTACATGGCAAGGTGGTGGCAGAACCATGCCTAGATTCAGACTTTCTGAAACCTCATTCCTTACACTTTTCAGGTAGGTGATGCCACACACAAGGGTTCGAGTGGATTTTGTCGTGTCATATGTATAATCTCTTTTTCTTAGTACATTGCCCTGGCAGAATTTCAGAAGTTGCTACAAGTAAATCCCATAACTTGAGAGCTTAAGACAGGAAGATTGCCAGGGAGTCAAGGCCAGCCTGGGCTACCTAGTGAGTTCAAGACCAGCCTGAACAACATAGTGAGACCCTGTCTTAAAAACAAACAAAAAATAGTTGCTAGGAGTAAAATGTTAATAAACGTAAGTCCTCTTACTGCTTGAACACCAGACATGTGTGGGCACACTTGTTATTCTCGGTTTTAAAACTGTTGTTGTCTTTACTTAAATTAAATTTCAGTAATTATTTCTTTACTTATCTATCTTATAGGTGTCATTGAAAATTTGCATGCTGCTGCTTACCGGAATGCCTTGGCTAATTCCTTATATTGTCCTGATTATAGGATTGGAAAAGTGACGTCAGAGCAGGTAACTGATAAAACATACTGTGTGTTTTTAAATGTACTTGTTTTCACATTAAATTCAGCAATCATTGCTCATTGTAGGATGTTTGCTGATTTTTCTTCTTCTAATTTTAAAAACTTCAGCTTGCTTTTTTTCCCATAAACTTGCTTTTTAACTAAAGTTTTATCAGAACAATGTTTTTATGTCTTTCAACTAAAAACAAGTTTGACAAGCTGAGTGTGCTGTGTCATGCCTGTAATCCAGAAGGCTGAGGCAGAGGATCGCTGCTCATTTGAAGCCAGCCTAAACTATATAGCAAGACCCTGTTTCAGAAAGCAAAACAAAGGGGCTGGGGATTTAGCTCAGCGGCAAAAGCACCTGCCTGGCAAGCGCAAGGTCGTGAGTTCGGTTCCCGGTACCAGAGAAAAACCAAAAAAGAAAAAACCAGAAAGCAAAACAAAACAAAGTTTTGATAAAAAGAGATATGATAATTACAGAAAAGTATAAAATAAGCAAAATTAGCCAAAAAAAACTCACGTACCTAAAGGTACTTTTTACACATTTTTCTTTGTATGCCCTTTTCTGTATGTGTGTTATCTTTTTAAAACATTGAGGTTTTTAAATATCACAGTAAATTCTTTAACAAAAAAGGTTCAGTCCTTTGAATGTCAGTGGCAGTGCAGCTGACCTCCTTACCTGCCGTTTACTGGGTGCCTGGTCACCCTTCCCCGCACACCAGTCTCCTTGTGCTCGTGTAGATTTATGACACGTCATAGCCATGTGTATGCCCAAGAACGGTTTGAAAAACGGGAAAACCGGATGTTAAACCTCCTAGTGTAGGTACAGACATATAATCTTAATCTCCTACTTCTACCACCTACATACCCCCTCAAAATTTATCAAATGACATTAAGAAAAAACTTAAATTATCAACACTTTAAAAATATTAAACTTTTAATCCCATTTCATTCCTGGTTGCTGCTACAGAAAACTAAGCTATATCCCTTTCTCATTTGATTTATCAATGAGCTTAATGCCTACCACTCCTAAGATGCTTTTATTCAAAAATGAGAAATCATATCATCCAACTTGAACAGGCAACATTTTTCATAAGATGGGTCTGTAATGAGTTTTGAAAGTTTCCAGAAATCAAATTCACCTTTGCAAGGAATTGTCATTAAGATAGCCAAAAATAATACTTAAAGCATAACATTTATCTACAAGGATATCTATTATAGCATTGTTTTTTAATTGAGAAAAATTAAAAATAAGTTAATATCTGACATTAGGGGATTAATAAAATAACTTATTAAATAACTGTAGAGCTAGGTGTGCTGACACACATCCCTGTAATCCTAGCACTTGGGAGGCTGAGGCAGGAAGATCATGAATTTGAGGTCAGCCTAGGCTACATAGTAAGTTTAACACCAGCCTTAGTGAGACCCTGTCTCAAAACAACAACAATCCGGGTGTGGTGGCATACGCCATAATCCCAGCACTTGGGTCGCGGAGGCAGGAGGATAGTTGCAAGTTCAAGACCAGCCTGAACTGGATAGCAAGACCCTGTCTCTAAAAGACAAAAAAAGCTGTAGAAGGGCACACTATTCAACCATTCTAAAATATTACTGATAATGTAAAATTTCCATAGCATACTGTCAAGTAAAATGCATTAGTATATACCAAAAGGTCCCTTCTGTTTTTTTTTCCTATTACTGAGAATTGAACCCAGGGCCTTTGCACTGCACTGCGTCACCACCCTATTTTTTTAATTCTTCATTTTGAGACAGGGTTTCACTAACTTGCTAAATTGCGCAGCCTGGACTTAAACTTGTGATCCTGTTGCCTCAACCTCCCAGAGTTCTGGGTTATCGGGTGTACACCACCATGCCTAGCTGAAAAGGTCCCATTTTTTAAAAAGTATTATGCAGAAACCAAGATTTTAACCACAATATGCTGATTCTTTCAGCGTTATTAATGTTTTTAAAAAATGTGTCCTTAGACTAAAGGAAATTCTAAAGAAATCAGTAATAGGTACTTTAAGCCTCAGCAGAAAAAAATCAGTAGAACAAAGCATATGATTCTCCAAAGGCACTCCGTAGATGTCTACACTCAAAGCCTGGCGTGGTGGCACACACCTATAATCCTAGCCCTCGGGAGGTTGAGGCGGTAGGATCCCCAGGAGTTCTGAGGCCAGCCTGGGATATGTAGTGAGTTCAAGGCCAGCCTAAACTACATAGCTAGGCCCTGTCTCACAAAACCAAAACCAAAAGATGTCCACCATTCATTTTAGAGCGCTTCTGATAATCAGTTAAAAGTGTAAGTTTAGTCTCAGTACTTCAGTCAGTGTTTCCTAGCGTTGTCATCCTCCTTCCCCAAGGAGCCTTTCTGTACATCCAATCCATTTTAGTGCCACAGACACTGCATCTGCTTATATAATGTAGATGCACAGATAAATAGATACAGTATGTATTCACTGTATATAGTAAGTGTAGTATATTTGTTATAATAATCATAGTAAATATTACTATATGTGGTAAATATATAGTATATATCACTTTATATCTAAAACGAGGATTTTTTTTTAACTCCCAAGAAGCAGGTTTCTGCCCCCTGGTAGAACTCATCATATGTTTTGAGAATATATGTTTAGCCCTGTGTTTGTATATTAAGCCTGAGGTAGGATAAACCATGATTAACTTCAGAACTCTCTATTATTTGTCTATTTGTTTTCCTGAGAAACTATTTTGTAGACAATAATATGTAAAATGATAACCATCGATAATTTCCTACCATTTTGTCTGTAATTTGCTAAGTCCCCCCTATTATTATGTTATCCTTCTTTTATTCTTTAAAATAAAAAAAAAATACTAAAAAAAAAAAAAAAAAAACTTCAGAGAAGGGTGACAGGGGTATATAATTTGAGCAACTCTACTAGATCTTGCATAGGATGTTTGTCCTTTAAGTACTTCGTGGTTAAGGACAAGAAATCTGATGTGTTTGAACCACATTATAATAAAAATCATAAGCTTATTCCCATTTTTTAAAGTTCAAGCTAGCGTATAATTTTTATTCCTTTATTAAATAATACCTTTATTGAGATGGAATTCACACACCACACATGCTATTTAAAATGCACACTTCCATGGTTTTCATCACGTTCAGCGTTGTGCACCCGTGACCACAATTAAGTTCTAGTTCTCTTTGAGTAATAATTGAAGAGTAATTCAACACTAATTAGTCCCTGATCATTCAGTGTAGCAGCAGTGAAGCTTGGGTAATTATTTTCTACCAAACTGTACTTCGGTCTTTTTACAGCTTTTTATATTTATACTAATGTAACCTAAGGTTTTTTTTAATCTCCTCAGTTACACTTCTACATTCAGAACCATTTTACGAGTGCGAGGATGGCTTTGGTTGGACTTGGTAAGTTGGGGCTCGGCGTGTCAGTTTGCTGCCATGCGAGCCACCCCTTAGCTGCGGTGCTGTTGGGCAGAGGGTGGGACGGGTCTGAGGACTGCTGTTCATGTCAGACGGACAGTGTGCGCTCGGGTTTATCTGCTGCTCTGTTTGGGAAAGCAGAGTCCAGTTTCTAACTGTGCAAATCACTTTACAGTCTACTGTGTTTGCGTAACTTGGGACAGGGTGGGTCTCTTCAAGCAAAGAGCTTTCATAGCCTGCCTTGTAAAAAGAAGTACAGTTTAATAGAAAAGTGGGCAAGAGAGCCTAAGCAGACCACTTACGCAGAAGTATGTGTGTGTATCCAGTTATTCTAGAAGATGATTAGCCTCACTAGTAAGAAAAATTTTAATTGTGAGATTATCAAAAGTTAAAAGATTGACACTGCCCAGTATGAACCAGGGTTTGGAGAAAAGGAAAAAGCACTGCCACTGAGCTACGTGCAGGCCCCAACACCCAAACATGTGCAACCATTATTACAACCATTATTACAGATTTCAGACCATTTTCCTCATCCCTAAGGAAAGCCCACACCCGTGGGCCGTTACTCCCCGTTCTCTTTCTCTCTGCCTTTGTTAGCCACTAGTCTACTCTCTATCTCTGAAGCGTTCACTAATATAAACATTTTATATGATTGACCATATAATAGGTGGCCTTTTGTAACAGGCTTCTTTCAAGCGTATTTCAGGGTCCATACATACTGTATCAGGTGTCATTGTTCCCTTTTATGGCAGAAAAAAGCTCTGTTACCACATTTCGTTTATCCATTCATGGACATTTGAATTTTCACCCTTCAGTGATTTTGAGGGGTTTTTGTTTGATTGGTTGGTTTGGGTGGTTCTGTTTCTTTGTTTTGGTTTTTTATCTTGTGGCTTTTTGAGATGGGTACTTCCTGTGTAGTTCAGGCTGGCCTTGAGCATAGCCCAGGGAACTTGTTTCTGTCCTCTTGCTGCAGCCTCTCAAGTGCTGGGATTACAGGCCTGCGCCACCGTACCCCGCTCCAGTGATTTTGAATGTAGACATTCGTGTGTAAGTTTTTCTTAGGACACCTGGTTTCAGCTCTTTTGAGTATTGCCAGGATGTGGTAGCTATTGGGGAACTGCCAGATTGTTTTCCAGATTATACTCACCATTTGACACGAATCCAGGTGTGTCCAGTTTGTCCACATCTTCACTAAAGCTGGTTACTATCCGCTGTCTTTCTGCTGCTGACCGTCCTGGTGGGAATGAAGTGGTCATTGTGGGTTTTATTTGCGTTTTCCTAATGACCGTGACATTAGTCATTTTTCATTTTCCTTTTTTGGACATCTGATTAACCTCTTGGAGAAATGTTTGTTCACAGTTTGGGCCCATATTTTAATTGAGTTTTGGGGTTTTGTGTGTTGCTAGGGAACCCAGGGCCTTGCTCACGCTTGGCAAATGCCCTGCCTTTGTTTTTCATTCATAAGTTCTTCATAAATGTTACAGATAATAGACCCTTCTCACATATGAGTCATGGACATTTTCTTTTTTTTACTTTCTTGGTAGTGTTCTTTGATGGTCGATGCAGTATTGTTTACTGTTGGAACACACTTGTGTCCATCAAGAAGGGATGAATTAAGTAAATGATGGTATATCCAAAATATCCAGTGGATTTTTTCTTTTTTAATATTTTTAAAATTTTTTCCAGTGACACAGGTCTTGCTAAGTTGTCCAGGCTAGGCTTAAACAAGATCATCCTACCTTAGCCTCATAGAGTGCTGGGATTCTCGGCTGCACTCCCATACCCGGCTGAATGGAATTGCTCAAACCATTAAATGTTTGCACAGACAAGTCAGATGCAGATTGTGAAAGATAATTTATTAGTAGCATGATACTTTTTTTTTTTTTTTTTTTTTTTGAGACTGGCAGTTCAGGGTGGCCTTGAACCCACTACAGAATTCAGGCTGGTCTCAAACTCATGGTGATCTTCCTGCCTCAGCCTCCTGAGTGCTGGGGTTACAGGCATGCACCACCACACCTGGCTGTCATTTTTAAAATAAGGGCTGGGAGTATATCCCAATGTTGGAGCATGGGTGTGGCAGGCTTGAGGCCTGAATTCAGTCTCCAGCACCAAAAAGAAAGAAAAAGAAGGAGGAGCGATAATAACTGTACATAAAAAAATTAAACATAAATATAATAGTTTAGCATTAGTGAACTGTAAATTGCTACCTAGGAGAATGACATGATGCGAAGACTTTCTTAGTAGTAGATGTTTTATAACTGTTTTAGAAATTCTGGTTCTAACTTTTTGTTTCTCTTCAAACAGGTGTGAGTCATCCCGTTGTGAAGCAAGTTGCTGAGCAGTTTCTCAACATGAGGGGTGGGCTTGGTTTATCTGGTGCCAAGGCCACATACCGGGGAGGTGAGCACTCTGCTGTGTTGGGCTTGTGTGTGGGAAGGCTGCTGCCCTGCTGGAGTAGCATATTGGAGTGGAGCAGGCTTGATCATTTACCGCTAAGCCATCTTGTTACGTCCGGAAATGGATAGCGTTGGCGTTATATGGGGTAGGGTGGCCAGGGGAAAGCACAAGGTCACAATGAACTTAATCTGAGTGGGCCAGCACTGTGTCATAGGGAGAACCGACGCACAAAATCGGTGGTGACTGACCCGTTTCCTCCTTGCCCTCTCCTTACGTGGGCCCAGGTGAAATTCGAGAACAGAATGGAGACAGTCTTGTCCATGCTGCTGTTGTGGCAGAAAGTGCTGCCATAGGAAGTGCAGAAGCAAATGCATTTAGTGTTCTTCAGCATGTCCTTGGTGCTGGACCACATGTCAAGAGGGGCAGCAACACCACCAACCTCCTGTACCAGGCTGTTGCTAAAGGAAATCCCCAGCCGTTTGATGTGAGTCTGAGAACCTGGTATCTCTCCTGTTTTCAGAGGCTTACTATTTATGGTATAATCGTGATTATCTGTTCTTAATCTGCTCTTTGTTTGGTTGGTTGGTTGGTTGGTTTTTTCCGGTACCGAGAATCGAACTCACAACCTCGTGCTTGCCAGACAGGCACTGTGCCGCTGAGCTAAATCCCCAACTCTTAATCTGCTCTTAAAAGGTTAAGGTAAACACAAAAATTCATACAATTGAAAAGATAGCCAGTCTTGACTTTAGTACTGGGTCTGTCAACTGTGCTAGCCAGGTATGGTGGCACATGCCTGTAACCCCAGTGCCCAGGAGGCTGAGACAGGAGGATGGTAATGAGTTTGAGGCCAGCCTGGAATACATAGAAAGACCCTCTCTCAAAATTTAAAAAAACTTACTGTCTTTTCAATTCTCATACAGAAAGGGGAATTGAATACTCAGGGAAAAAAAAATCAGAAAGTCACATTTTATAAGCGTTTTAGATACTAAACATTCCCCTAGATTCTAACTTGTGTTTTTTCTAGATAATTCTCTCCATTCTGCTGTGTGGCTCCTTCCTAAGTCTCACTGCCCTTTATGTTTTCCAACCAAATGGGCAAGACACACACCAAAAAGATTGATCATGGAGCTAGGCGTGATAGCACATACTTGTAATCACAGCACTTGGGAGGCTGAGGCAGGAGGATTGCCGTGAGTTCGAGGCCAACCTGAACTATATAGTGAGACCCTGTCTCAAAAAAAGAAAATGGTTTATAGACCTGCCTCTCCAGTTTAAGATTCAGTTAAAACAAAAATGATGATATTTAATCATAACAACGTGTTCTAGAAAATACTTTTTTAAGACAAGGAAATGGGGCAGGGGATATAGCTCAGCAGCATAAGTGCCTGCCTGGCAAGTGCAAGGTGCTGAGTTCGATTCCTAGTACAAAAAAAAAAAAAAAAAGACAAGGAAATGTTAAAGTTTTCATAATATTGATATGTCAGGAGAATATGAAATGCCAAGTAACAAAATACTATTTAATGAGTGGGCACATAGAGGACTCTTAAATAGTATGCCCTTTTTTTGAGACAAGGTCTCACTATGCAGTGCAGGCTGGCCTCCGACTTGCAGTGATCCTCCTGCCTCAGCCTTCTGAGTAGACCCTATCTCAAAAAGAAAAATTGTGGGTTCCCAGGCTATAACCACAGGGATGCAAGTCAGTAGATCGTTGCAAGAATCTGAAAATCTACACTTTTAATGACTTAGGTGATTTTTTTATGTAAATGGTTTACATTTTAGATAAATACTGCAAAATACTGTTTTTAGGCAGTCACTTTTACCTTAAGGAGTTAGGCAGGAATTGTCTGTATTACCCAAGGGCTAAACTTTCTCGGATAATGGTCTCTAGCAAAAATTTTATCTAACCCTTTGACTTTGTGTGTAAGAGAAATGAAAGCAAATTGGTAAAAAAATTCAACACCAACAGTGGACGAAAGCAGATCCAATGCCAGAGTCTGTGGTGTGCCCCTTGGCCACTGTACGTCACAGTATTACTCATCAAAGGGACATTTGAAGAGAACCAATAAAGAGAAGAATGAGCAGTAGTTTTAGAAAGATTTAAGTAGGAAAAAAGCTAAGAGCATTGCAGCTCTGAAAGAGGTAGCCTGTATGTGCAACACTTCAGCCCTTAACAAGATCTGTTAAATGAAATGTCAGTCTATTCTGCTTCTACGATGAAGGTACAGTGTCTGTCTAGACAACCATGAGGAAAGTATCTCATCTTTTACCTGGTGGAATATCATAAAGTCTTGTTCTCTTTCAGGTTTCTGCTTTTAATGCCAGTTACTCAGATTCCGGGCTCTTTGGGATTTACACCATCTCACAAGCTGCAGCAGCCAGAGATGTAAGTTCTAAACGTGCCTGCTCTCACCAGATTTATTCCCAAAATTTACGTGGTTTTAATTAAAACAGATTTGAGTGCCCATTTATCAGCACTATCAGCATTATACCACTGTCAGTATTGTGGTGTCACTGAAGTGTATCTGACATGGGGAAAATCTAAAAATATTTCCTAAAGCCTCCAGGAAAGAGGGGAAGTACTTCAGTATTGCAGTTCTTAGACAAGTGGGATTGAGTCTGCTCTGCAGTATCTAATTTCACAATCCAGGAGAGGTCAAGGCCAAGAACCAAATATACTAATCCTCACTGTCGAGATTTTCTTAAAGTCACAGTTGTGGGTGACAAATTACAGAAGAAAACTGAAGCTCACGTTCTGGAAAACAGCACCATTTATGGGGCAGAGGACTAAGGAAAGTGACCAGCAAAACTGGAAGAACAGAAAGACAAACTGGTATATTTCAAGGCCAGGAATGAGAAAATAGTTAACACCATTTTGATCCACTACAGATTCGGATCCTCTGCAGAGAGGTCTGGCAGTTTCATCAAACGAGGACGTCACTGGTGATCTTCGTTTTCCCCAGCGTGGCTGGAAATGAGCTAACATGTAATGTGTTAGGGAGTGAATGAGAAGGGAGGAATGACAGGCTGATGTGAGCACATGGCACTGAGACTTGCGGGGAAGAGGCTGACAGCTTCAGCGGAGTTTGCCCTGAGAAATTCTGCTGGAAAAGACATTCATAAACAGACTGGAGTGGACACAGGAGTTAGACATGGTGAAGGGCTCAAATCTGGAAAGTAGGAGCAAGTGGGCTGCAGACCACAGGTGGGTTGGGTTACTCTTGGAAGTCGCAGTTAATGTTGCGAAGTAATGTCGGAGAGACAACGAAGTCCACCCTTGGTGAGGTAGGAGGCTGAGTCATGTTTTAAGATGAGGCGAAGGAGGACACTTGAAAGAAAGAGGTGGAGCTCAGGACGACGACCTGGATGCACACCGCAGGCGGCAGCAGTAGTGGAGGTGTCTCCTTGAAGCGAGTGCCTATGAATTCACAGTACACCAAGTCTGTTTTATAATTTCAGTTCGTTAACTTTTACTACCTGTAATGGAACAGCAGGAGAGGCAGGCACTAGGGTCGATCCCAGGTTGGAATCTTGCAGAAACCCTGAGCAGGTTAGAAGCAGGAGGAAGCTGGCAAGAGAGTTGGGTGCTTTGGCGGGAGTGACTGAAGGGACGACTCCTAGCCACGGGCCAGGCAGGGAAGAGGCCAGACTGAGGAAGCAGGCGAGCCCAGGGGCGGGGGTGCTGGCGAGGTGCAGAGTAAGGACGGGGCTGAGGCCAGAGGCGGGACTGGGTCAGGGTGTCGGCGTTGGGGCGGGTGTAGCTGTGGGAATGGGTGACTTAACACAGGAGGGAAGTGGGTCCTAGAATTTAGGCGACTGGGGACAATAAGCAGTAGACCCAGATGGTGCCAGGATTAAGATGGAGAAGACGTGGGCCGGGTTTACCGATTCATTCATTCAGCAGATATTTACCAGGCGTCCACATCACTGCAGCTTGATTCCTTCTTGACCCTGGTGTTGCAGGTGTGGATAAAATGAGCCTTACAGATTGGCTGTGTGTGGATGACTGCTTTGTTCTAAGTGAATAGTGAAGGATAGCGGGGTTAACTGCATGACCCTGGAGGAGTCTGGAGAAGTTTTAAGACGTGTTTACTCCTTACAGGCGAAGACAAGTCCACGGGTTTGCTCTTTCCTAAAGACCCCTCCTCTTCAGCCACCTTCTGCCTTCCGCCATTTACACTATACAAAAGCTTGGCTGCTGGGCACGAGTGGTACAAACAGCTGCTTTGAGGGGTGTGCAGCTACTGCGGAATTCCACTTAGACGCTCTGTTCTTTAAAACTAACTCCATCTTGTGCTTTTGCCCAGCAGAGGAGCAAACGTTCCTCGGGAGACCCTAGCACGGGCCAGAGGTGACCAGCTTTTCTCTGTGTGTCTTAGGTCATCAAGGCTGCCTGTAACCAAGTAAAAGCAGTTGCTCAAGGAAACGTCTCCAGTGCAGATGTCCAGACTGCCAAGTAAGGCTCCATACGATTTGCTTTATGTTTTATGTACTCAAAGTCTGTAGTTTTTCAGATTAAGCCACTATTATGACATACAAAGATTAGAAATACAAAAAGTATTACAAGGGAAGGGTTGGGGGTGTGATTCAGGGTAGAGGTCTTGCCAAGTATGCATGAGGGCCTGGGTTCAATCCCCAGCACCAAAAAAAAAAAAATAGGGGCTGGGGATTTAGCTCAGCGGCAAAGCGCCTGCTTGGCAAGCACAAGGTCGTGAGTTCGGTTCCCGGTACCAGAGAAAAACCAAAAAGAAAAACCAAAAAAAAAAAAAAAAAAATAGTAAGCAAGCAAATGAAATGTATAGGTAAAATACCTACATCCTACCACCTAGAGGTACAGTTGTTAAGATTTTGGTTATTTTCTCGATTATACATTTTTAAATGCAATTGTTAATATTGTATACATTCATTTATATCCTTTCTAAATAGCACGTTTATTGTAGAAATTTGAAAATGATCATTGATTCCACATCAGTGATACTCCCCACTGCCTTTTTTTTTTTTTTTTTTTTGGTTGTACCTAGGGTTGAACTTAGGGCCCTCACTGCACACCAGCCCTTTTGCTTGTTTGTTCTTGAGGACCTTACTAAGCTGCCCGAGCTGGGGTTAAATTTGTGTGATGTTCCTGCCTCAGCCTCCCAGCATGCTAGAATTACAAGCATGCACCACTGTGTCAAGCTTCAATGATTTCTCCTTTTTAAAATGTCATATTGATGTTTCTTTTTGTTCCGGTTACTAAAGACTTGTCTAAACAATATTAATTGGTATGTCAAAAAATACAGCAGAAATGCTGGTCATTTTCTACAGTTGAAAATAATAGGCTATAAAAGATTCTTTGGGCTTAAAACGTGTATTTTATTATTTGCCCTCCTTATGCACAGATGCTTTCTGTATCAGTTCAGTCAACCACACATAACAAAAATTGGGGGAAAAATTGCATCTATACTGCACATGTGCAGACTTTTTTCTTGTCATTCCCTAAACAGTACAATATAGCAAATGTCTGACATAGCATTCATATTGTGTTAGGTATTGTTAATAGTAATCTAGGGTAATTGAAATATATAGGCATTTGTGCGTAGATTATATGCAAATGCTGTGCCATATTATATATCGGGCTTGAGCGCCTACAGACTTTAGCATCCATGGGGGTCCTGGAACCAATACCAGAGGACATTTGTATACTAGGGGACAACTAATTCTTGGTATAGATTCCCAACTATATTTCCATAAGATGCCTGCTTTTATTCTGTATATTTTTTTCAGGAAGACAAAAAGACTTGTCACTGTTTGTTGATTTTTATTTTCTTTTTTAATTGAGATAGGGTCTCACTATGCAGTTCAGGCTGGCCTTGAGCTCACTTTGTAGTCCAGGCTGGCCTGGAACTCGCAATGATCCTCCTGCCTCAGCCTCCGAAGTTGCGGGGATCACAGGCATGTGCCACCACGTCCCGCTGTTTGTTGATTTTTAAATTTTCCACTGTCCAGACTAACACTGCTAACGACACCTCCATCCCAACTCGTTAGTACTTAAGAGATTTTCCTTTAACTAAAAGAGACAGACTTTGGGCAAAGTTGGAAAACAAACTGCATTTTCATACAGCAGTTTAAGACATTTAAGGTTGAGTCCATCTAGTTAACATCAGTTCAAGATAAGAACCTTGTAATTAATTCATTTGCTGTCTATGATCATTTAGTATTGCCCACACAAGAGGTATAACAGAGTGTGAATTCACCCGAGAGAGAACAACCTTTACTTCCCATTTCTGTGCTCGTTTTGTTATTCTGAATGCGCTACAAAATTGCATGCCTTTCTCTCTCTCTCTCCGTCTCTTTTTTTTTTCTTTTCTGGGGATTGAACCCAGAGCCTCATGCATGTAACCCTACCACTGAGATACATACCAGCCCTAAAGCTGCGTGTCTTGAACAGATGTAACACAGCTGATGAGTTGTACGCAGGGGACCAAGACGGGGTACAGTTCTGTTTGCTTTTACCAGAAATAAACAGCAATAACAAGTATGAGAATGAATGGAAACACTGGCTTCACTTAGCAAAAATCTAAGTCTCGGGTGTGATTTAAGAAAATTTACAAGTATTTTGTGAATAAGTGTAGCATAGTTTTAAAGGTATGGCAGTAGGTAGAAAATGAGCTTTTAGTTATTAATTTCACGATACATTTGATTTCTGCCATTCTGATAAAGTTGCTGCTGCTTTACAAGGTTCTTAGTCTCCTGTAGTAAAAGAGAAAGTGAGGTGTCATTGCTGGAAGGACAAACACCAGTAACCTCTTGGTAGACTTCATTTTAGGTGAAAACCTTTCTTAATTAAGCTGACAGTGCGGTAAAATTGCTGTGTTAAATTGTAATTACATGTACATGGGAGTCTTGCTATAGAATGCCAAAGGATGATCATTTATTTGGGGCTAAGTAGTTCACTGCCACATTGAAAACCATGTTTGTAAGGAATAATAGTTTCTTTCCAGGAGATCTGCGAATTGGGCCATCATGTTGGATTTGAAATTGATCCTCCTGTGCCCATAGTATTTAAGCTCCTGGGGCTTTCACGAACCGTAGCAGCCTTCCCCGCCACCTCCTCCTCTGAGCACTGTCCTTGCTGAGACAGATCCCAGCACGGAAGTGACACTTGTGCGGTGCGTGCCAGCGCACGCCAGTCTGCCAAGTGGTAGTGCCGTACGAGCCCACGCAGGTAGATGCCTCTGTGCAGTAGAAATGCCCGAAACTGTCGCTAGAGATATATCACAAGGCAGGAGCAGTTACTTCACATTAAAATAGTCTTATCTAGATCTAAGGTTTGGTCCAAAGTCCAAAGGTAGCCTGTTGAAGATTCAGTAAAGCTTTGTGTTGACACCTTTCCAAACAGTAATGTAAGTAATAAACTTTTGTGAGCTGAAAAAATGGAATGGAGGCCTTTGGCTGTAACTTGCCTGATACCGAAGGCATGTTGCAGAGTTTGAGGTGCGTACTTTGAAACTGCCTTTAACAGTGTCCATAGCACTGACTCCTGCCTTTTTCCGGACAGGAACAAGCTGAAAGCTGGATACCTGATGTCAGTGGAGTCCTCTGAGGGCTTCCTGAGTGAAGTCGGGTCCCAGGCTCTGGGTGCTGGTTCCTACACACCCCCGAACACAGTCCTTCAGCAGATTGACGCAGTGGCCGATGCTGATGTTGTAAATGTAAGCAAATGAAATCTTACCATTTGCCATGGAGAACTTTAGTGACCTGGCTTCAGAAAGAACACATAGGCTGCCTTGAGCTATGTATGTTCTTCTGTTGACTGGTCCCTCTGTTCCTAGTGTGGAGACAGGAGGGATCGTTACCATCAGATTACAGATAGTATCCTTGCTGGGTATGGTGGTGCCTGTAACCCCAGCACTCAGGAGGCTGAGGCAGGAGGATTGCTGCGAGTTCAAGGCCAGCCTGCAGTACATAGTGAGACTGTCTCAAAAAGGAAAAATACAAAACAAGTAGCATCCTTGTCTATTCTAGTGTATATATAGCCTCATCCTCATTCAAATAAATTACCATTCAGTTAAACCATTTTAAATTTTTAGAGGTTAAGAGTCAAATACTGGCAGTTTTTTGTGATTTGATCTAAATAGTAGTTGGCTGATATTTTTTCCTCATTCATCCTCAAGAAGTACATCTTCCTGCCAGTCCTTCACCATGTAGTGTCTCAGGATTTGACTCACTTGGTTACCTGAGATGTTCCCTGCTCGTGCTGTTCCCACGTGTGGGTGTTCCGTACAAGACTGAGTTGTGAGATCTGGAACTGTCTGTGTCTTACACAGTGGGTCCTCCAGTTACGACCTGACGTACAGTAACTTCAATTTTGACTGGAATTTTAGTTTTAACTTACAACCTAAGTCTTGAGTTGTGACCCAAATGCTGGCCACTTGTGCTTCCAGATGGCCTCAGGTACAGATTTAACCTTACAGAGCTCTGGGAGGAACATACCGTGTCCTTTCCCGTATGGGGTTAATTGAGAAATCCTGGGCCAGTGTCTGTCAGGTCCCTGAGGTCCACCTGTGTAAGGAGAGAGCCTGTGAAGGCCGTGTGGAGGAGGCTGAGCCTTCAGCTGACAGCCTGAGTTACCGCCAGCCCTCGGGAAGCAATTGCGTTCCTAAGTCAAGCGTCCACTGTACTTCTTTTATTTCTTACTGTGTCCAATGGGCATGTGAGCTACGGAGTAGACCTAAGGTGTGTGTTCCAGGTCTTTTCTACACTAAAGATACCAGCTCCTTTTCCACTATAGCTGTCTCGACCGTCTTCCCATCATTGTAAAAAGATGATAGGATAGAAAACAAACCAGGCTATTTTAACATAAAAACCCTAACTTCCACTGGCCCCTGAGTTCCGCAGCACATCCTCTTGTAAACGTCTGTCTTGCTCACACTAGCGTTTCACCAGCCCTGGCCCAGCCGCCTCCGTCGCCCCCTCTCCTTGGAAAGGGCTGGCCTGACGTACGAGGGCTCTCGCTCACCTGCTTTGTGGTGCTGCACTTAACTTAAACAACTCGTCTTTGAACTTGAACTAATGGCATAAGGAATACCTGAGTATACAGCTTGTCTTTTAACGGGGGAATTACTGAACAGTATTTTGATGGACTCAGACTGTTCGCCACTGTAATGCAGCAACAGCTGCAGCCCTGCCTGAAATCACTCTGCCCTGCCCTGTTTTGCAGTGTCAGTGAGATTTTCCTTACCTGCCTTTCAACAGCTCCCCTCTTACCTAGAGAGCTACTCTTACATGTGTGCTGGTTAGACATACGATGGCGTATTCGTAGTCACATAAAGTACAGCACTAGCCGTCTCGCAGTAGATTTTCATCAGAGGCTATGAGAGAATTCCTGGCGGAGTGTTCTACCCATAAAGTCGTGAAATGACAAGTTTATCTACTTGGTGATGCACAGCATTTCTTCTAACTTCCTGTGTCCTTTTGTTTATTTAAAGGCTGCAAAGAAGTTTGTTTCTGGCCAGAAGTCAATGGCAGCCAGTGGAAACCTGGGGCATACGCCTTTCGTTGATGAGTTGTGATATTACAGCACATACTGCGGAAGAGCAGCACACACGTCGAGGTCCGAAGTCTCTAATATATTAATGTTCCTTTTTTCTCATTAGGTGAGATATCTTACAGTATAGATGCAGGTAATTATTCCCAGTTGACCAAGAGTCAATAAAACATTCTGCTTAAATGTCTCTCTTGCATTTTTCCTAATCAAGTATTCATTACATGCTGAGACCTTTGTTTTAGATACTTTAAGGGAGACAAGGGTAAAATAGTTGAGTAAATCCACTGTCAGTTAAAAAACACCAGAAAGTATTAACGCTAAGCAGCTACCACCGTAAAAATTCCCAGATTATTACGGGTGACTTTTAAGATAAAAACAAGTTACAACTGCCATTTCAGGTAACAACAGTTAAGTTGTCTGGTGTGTATCCCTTTTTTGCCTTTTTTTGTAGTAAAATCATTTCCACACATTTCCTTATGAGTCACGTCCTGATACGTTACTTCGTTTTATGTCTGATTTATCTTCACTATGGCAGTTTTTTTTTCTCTCCTATCTCTGTTCACCTGTTTTGATCTTGTCTCTTTCAAATAGCAACAAAGTAAAAGTAGGACTTTCTGCTTTTCTTTCTAACATGTTCCTGCCAGCTTGAACCCCTGGTGGTACACGCGTGCCTGTCCCATCCAACAGCTTGTGCTGCTGGTGATACAGATGGATCTAGTCACTCATATTGGTCTTTTTACTAATAAAGTCAATAAAAAGCTACCCAGTGGTGCAGTCCTGCATGTACCACTGATGGTTCAAACCACCCAGCAGCGGGGCATACAATGACAGCCCCATTGTGAACACGTCCACCCTAGAGGTGATCTAACACTGAGCTGCCTTCCCCCACCTTGTTTGTCTTTTCAGACGGGCTTGTCAGGTTGCCCTGGCCGGCCTCAAACTGAAGATCTTTCTGCCTCAGTCTGCTGAGTAGCTAGGACTACAGACGTGCACCATCATACGTGGCTTCTGTTTGGTCTTTTAAGTAGGACATTGAAGTTCTACAAAAAAGACCAAATATCTGTGTAAAATAGCTATTTACCCCAAACAGTACATTTCTCTGTTGTGTTCAGACACTCAGATTCTGGGTTCCTGTACTGCGTTTTCTAAAAGATGAGGAATTCTCAGAAAGGGTCTTGATCTGAGTAATGGGGCGCTTTTATTGCGACTGTTGAGGATTGGCGAGGCCTGGGAGACCCCAGAAGTCCTGCGCCGTCGCACTGAAGAAGGTCTCTAAAGCTCTTCAGCTCCGTCCTGGAGAGCACCGGCAGGTCCCTGCTGTTCCGTGCGCATTCCTGCAGAGCTGTGTGCGGTGAGCAAACGCCATGTGCCCACAGCCTGGCAGCACTGCCTAACCAACCTTCGGTGCCCGTGGGCCCTGGCCCGTCTCCGCTTGGGCCCAGGCTTCCGGCCAGAACTCGCCTGAAGTGGAGGAGGCCGAGGAAGAGGAGCTGTCGCTGCCCCGCTGCCCCGCCGCCCAGTGCGCGGACAGGGCTGTCCCCGCCTTGCGCGCTCTGTGAATCGTTGCGGCGCCGTCAGTGTCTCTCCCAGCAGGAGCAGCGTGGCTCTTCCTTTCGTACTCGAGCCGTTCTCTGGAGGTGGACGCCAGTGTCCTCTCGGGCTGTTGCCCAGTTGGCCGTGGGTACCTGTGTCTAAATCTTCTCTCTAAAACTGCATCTTCGTTGTCATCGCTGCTGGTGACAGAATCCTCAGCATTCCCTGCAGCGCTGGAATGAAGAGAACAGTGAATGAGATGAACTCTTAATATCAGCACACTTGGGCTGCGACGCAGCTCAGAGGCACAGCGCCTGCCTGGCAAGCACAGGGTCCTGACTTCAATTCCCAGTACCGAAAGAAAAACATTGGCACACCTATAGTTCCCTGATAAGATGTTTTATAACCTGTTTTGGCTCATAATATGAAATTCAAATTGGTTTTAGTGCTACCTTTCTGTATCATTGAAGGTTTTTGGTTTTTTTTAAATGCCTTTAAAGTTGAGCATAGTGGCATACATCTTTAATCCCAGCAGTTCTCTGGAAGGGCGAGGCAGGAGGATCAAAAATCCCAGGTTGGCTTCAAACTCCCAGTGATCCTACTGCCTCAGCCTCCTGAATGCTGGGATCACAGGCATTCACCATGCCCACTTTTCATTCCTAGACATAAATCTTGCCTTAAATTGTTTCATACTACTTTAAAATGCTTTGCACGGATTTTATCTAGACTGCTGACCAGAATGTTAGGATCCCATTAAGGATGGATTTCTCTTCATCCAGAGTGACAAGTTAACCTGGCCATCTCCTGAAAACTGTTCTCCTGGGTCAGATAGCAATAACGGAAATCCCAATTGCCATGGGATCCAGGACATAGCCTCAAGGAACTTCAACAAGATAGTCACTGGTAAGTCATTGAGAGTTTTTCTTGAAACGCTGCCACACAGAGCAGCATTCCCCACCTCTCGGGGCTTACAAATGTGGATTTATACAGCACCCCTCCACTCAGCATTCACAGAGCTTTCAAGTCCCTTTTTATTTGTTTAGTTTGTTGCTATTTGCCCCAGCTGTTGGCTTGTTTGTTTTTTGAGACAGGGTCTCGCTATGTAGTTCAGGCTGTCCTTAAACTCACTATGTGGCCTGGGCTGGCCTTGAACTTCTGACAGTCCTGCCTCAGCCTCCCGAGCACAGGGGTTACAAGTGTGCACCATCATGCTGAGCTGGCTTGTTAAAACCTGGACGAGCCTCTGGACCTTTCCAGTGCCTAAGTACTTGTACCTGATATTACTTGGCAGAACAAATGCTATCCTTCCTCCTCTTCCCTCATCCTTTGCTCAGCAGATCCAAGACTAGATCTGTGCGGTTATGGCCGTCTGGCACATTCCATCCTGCTAGTAGGAAACGGGTTTCTTCCCCACTGCCCTGCCAGCCTGCCAGACTTGCTAGTGTTAGAACCTTTTGCCAGTCTGCCTGGTTTATTTACTTCCAAGAACTTGAGCAACTCTTCCTAAGTTATGTCTCTTTTAGTAATATGCAGTTGGTATTGATTCGTTTACTGAGCGCCACTAGTCTTAAATGGTGTGATTTTCTTTATCCTTGACTTGGGGCCATGCAGGGAGGTTCAGAAGAACTGGAGATTAAAACACTTAGCCTTCTAACAGACTCAGGACTTCCCAAATGAAAATGAAAATTTTAAAGTTATTTTTCTCAGTCTGTAAGAAGTATTGATGACTCTGTATGAGGCATCTTCGAACAAGTGGGAGAGCTGAGCACTTACTAAACTGGCATTAGGTAGGCTACAGCCAGCGGAGGTCAAGGGTGGCTGGAAACGAAGGGTTCACACAGCGCGTCCTACCCAGAGCGCTACACGGAGCGTCTTCTGCGCTGTGCACAGGCCGGCCGCTGCTGGAAAAGGTCTCCGGTGGAGGTCTTCTTCCCCTCACCTCTCCACACAGGTTGCTAACATGACTTAACTGTAAGTACTTTGCTCAACTAAGAAAGGAGTTAGAATGTGCTTGGGATTTTTTGTAAGTTTGTGGGCCTTAGCCTTGTACTTAAATTGTGCTAGTCTCTTTGTTTTTGAATGGTCAATCTCCTATCTCAGATTTTAATATTCTGAATCTCCTCTAATAGTGAAAATGCTTAGAATATAGTGGTTCTGTAAGCAAATGGTTACTAACTCAGGCTTTACAGGTGCACTCTCCAATTTAAGTGGATTACACTTGAACAAAATTTAAAATTCCGCAGTTACATTCCGTATGTTGGAGTGGCCAGTAGCTAGCATATGAGACAGCTGTTAGCAGCCCTGCTGTGGGGACAGACCTGGGCCTGCGGCCTTGGCCCCTGACCAGTTCACACTTCCTTGGCCTTCAGCTCTCTTCCCTGTACAGTGACCACGAGAAAAAGCGTTCGTGAGAGGGTTAAGTGGCCTCATACTTGGAAAATCCTGTTACAGTGCCACCCACACACGAGCAATGAGTTACTACTAGTTTTAATGAAGCTTAATCAAATCAGGATGGGTGTGGTCACCGGAAAAAGACATCTTCCTCAGTTTGCCTGATCTAGAGAGGACAGCTGTTCCCCTTCCAACTCCACAATCCTTCTGGGTTTTTTGGGAGAAATCAGAAATGAAGATTCTGTCCAGGAAATACGAGATTTATGAATTTGTCAACTGGCATAGTTTTAATTTTTGAAATATACAGGAGAATTCCAAAACAGTTTAATGAAGAAATATACATATATATAAAATTGTGCACGCGTGTATGTGTAAACAAACACCTTGGCCACCATCCAAATCAAAAAATGGAGTATGCATTGCCACTGCTTAAGCTTCCCATGTGTCCTGCTCTTCTGGGTTTTTTAAATCCTTTGGGAGCCCAGCAAAGCACACCTGTGGGCTCTGTCAGACCTTTAGCCACAAGTCTGAGTCTCTGAAGTAAAAATATGGGCTATATTTCTTTGAGCCTGTCCCCATGTGCAAAGGTACAATTAAAGCCACTCTTGCATCAGAGCACTGAATTTCAGACTGTCTTGGCTACTTTTCTCTCGTTGCTGAGACAAAATACCCAACGCCCAAAACGAAGGAAGGAAAGGTTTATTTAGCTTACAGTTTGTGGAGGTTTCAGTCCATACTTGGCTGGCTCCGAGGGAGAAGGTAGCAAAGCAACAAGAGCAAAGAGGGGAATGGCAGCCGAACAGCAAACAGCCAGAGCAAAAGGGAGGAATGGCGGCAAGCAGCTTCTTTTTCCTGCTTTACTTTGTAAACAGGCTACCCCCACCTAAGGGGCATGTAGCTCTCACATAATCTCCATGCCCTCCTCTTCCACAGGCTCAGGATGTATACAAAGTAAGCACCCTGGCTTCCTGCTGAGTCACTTAGCCAAACTTCTAGACTCCCCAAGTTGACACAATGTATCAACCATAACACAGACTAAGAAAAAGGACCTCATTCTGATCCTTAGAAGAGTCCCTGTTAAATCTGGTACTGATAAGTCAACGAGCTCTCAGAAACTAGCCAGGTGACCTGTCCGAGATTCGAAGCTGCTTCACATTTTGTACTCACTCTTCCAATAAATGAGCCCTCCGCTGTGTGAAAACTTCGTGGGAGTTTCGTTCCCTAGACAGCATCAGTCCCTACCGTCCCGGAAGGGACACTTCCCTAGGGAAACAGCAAGCAGCTGACTGCACGTGGTGTGTAATCACAGTTGGTAAATGGAGAGAAGATGAAGGAGAATGGAGCACACAGCAGGTGGTGCTATTTGATGTCGCCTGTACGAACGAGGGCCTCAGGAAGAGCCTTTAAGGGTGAAGCCGGGCGAGAAAGATGCTTACGCACCTTACAGGCCAAAGAGCAACACGGGCCAAAGGCTGACGCCAGAGAGGGCCGAGGCGGGGGTGGGTACAGCAGTGTGAGGTGAAGCCAGGCTTCGGCGCTCATTCAAAAAACAGAAGGTCTTAAAAATGTTAAGCTGGAAAATACTGTGATCGGATTTGCACTGTAAAAGGATCGTCCTGTGTAGAGTGGGAGCCAAGAGCAGGCACCCAGAGATCCAGGGGTGACTGGGACAGTGGTGGTAGCCAGGGATAGCGGTATACACATGCGAGAGGACAGAGGGTAAAATGACAAGTCTTAGTAACTGGTTGAGGGGGTGAGGGGCAGGTAGAGAAATCAAGCACAACCCTAGAGATCTGGCTTGTTCAAGTAGGTAAACACCCCAAGACAGGGTCACAGCCAGGTGTGGCCCGTGCCTGTAATCCCAGCACTTGGAAGGCTGAGGCAGGAGGGTTGCAAGTTTGAGTCCTGCCTGGGCAACTTAGACTCTGGGGAGGTAGCTCGGTGCAAGGGTCCTGTGTTCAAACTCTAGTAACACACACACACACGCACACACGGGCCACTGCAGAATCAGTGGTGAGCTGGCGTTCAATCCTAAACCAAAGAGCTCGAGGAATTTATGATACATGCAAATGAAGACGTCAAGTGGGCATTTAAATGCACGAGTACAAGTCTGCAGACAGCGCCGCTGGAGAGTGATTGCTGTGTGGATAGAAACAGAAACCACAAGCGTCGATGGAACTGATGGCCTAGGTCACTAAGAGCCAAGGCTAAAGCTTAACCGGGGGGAAGCAGCCCGAGGTAATAAGTACGAGAGCGTGGCGTCACCAGCCGGGCGTGATGGCACACGCCTGTACCCTAGCACTTGGCAGGCTGAGGCAGGAGGATGGCCTTGAGCTCAAAGCCAGCCTGAACTGCATAGTGAGCCCCTGTCTCACACACACACAAGTGTGGCATCTCAGGAGCCTGGGGAAGATGTCAGGTAGGGTTAGAGGGGCAGTTGTAAAGCGTAATGCAGTTTAGAAGCCACGCAAAACAAACACACAAGAGTCGGGATCACGGTGTGGAGGCTGTGGGGGATCCCAAGAAGAGCCGCGCCTGAGGCCCAAAAGCAAAGTCCCGATGGAGGTGGCCTGGGGCGGGGCGGGGAGCGGGCTCCCGAGGAGAGGGGGAGGTCAGTACCTGTGAACAGCTTGGGAGGGGAGCCCCGGGACGGACGCGGCTGGACGGTAGACTGGGAGGGAGCGGCTCAGGGCTCCGGCGCTGTGAGGAGGGATTCGGGAAGGAAGCTACGCAAGGGCTCACTGTAAGAGCTGAGGGGAAGGAGGGCACAGGGCAGGGAGGCTGGGGGCCGGGCTCCCACAGTGCCTGCGAACCTTCTAACCCCGAGGTGCCTTTGCCAGGCCGCCTCGGGAGAGCCTCAGGCCGTCTCTGCCGAACAGTCTAGCACTTCACTGAGTTATCCCGACAGCCCTGCCCGGCCCTGCTCCCACGTTCTTACCATCTAGCAGCACACCAGCACCCTGGGCTCACAGGCCCCCCGTCTGTGTTGTAACGGAGCTCCTGGAATTAATACTCACCTAAAAGTGACTGGGAGTTTCGTCTCCGGAATTAAGTCATATACTTCTTGCCATTCCTGGGGTATGTCAATAAAATCTCGGTAAACCTTAATTTGTAGCACTGTTCCTATGGTGATGTGTTGGAGGAGCTTTAGAAATTCCCGAAGTGTATAACCCAGCACATTGGCATAACCAACGCTGATCAGAACATCACCTAGAGGAAGAAAAATACTATCAGTAAAACTAAGATAATGGTTGAAAAGGGCAGTAGTGATTCCTGGCTTTAGTGTAAGGTATTTTATTTCTGAGCAAAACTAGTCTTCACCCTTTGTTAAAATGTTCCTCTTGGCCAGGAGTGGTGGAGCATGCTCGCGTAGCTACCTGGGAGTCTGACAAAGGATTGCAAGTTTAAGGCCAACCTGGGGAACCTGGTGAGACCCATCTCACAATAAAATTTTAAAAGGGCTAGAGACATAGCTCTGCACTCCCTGGCCTCAGTTCTCCACATACCATTAAAAAAAAGTTCATCTCTTTGGCCTGACTGTCCTTTGCATAAAGAAGCATGCTTGTGAGCTGCTTCTTAATTGCAGTGTAATGGAAGATATCACCCTGTGTTCCTGAAACATCTCTGAAATTCTTGGTGTGACAGGCTAAAATCCATTTATACTCTGTACCATCCTGTAGGATTCTAAAAATATATTAGGTTCAAAGAAAATGATTGTTATTAGCAAAGAAAAAAATGACGTAGACTAAGTGGTCAGGCTTTCTATTATACCTGCCTGGCAATTTCCAGTGCCCTCCACAGTAAATAGCCTGTATTAAACATCAAGCTTTTGATGTTTTTTAATTTTCAGCTCCTGTACAAAAGTAGTTGGAGGAATTTTCTTTTTTAATTTTCAGCTCCTGTACAGAAGTAGGTGGAGGAGTAATTCTGTATGAAACATTGGGCAATTAGCTTTAATTACACTTAAGTGTGTAAGCAGAGTACATTGGTTCAAAGGAATTCGACAGCTGGACTCCCTGCTTTTGGGCAGTGCTGGACAGGAAGCCAACCGTGGAGCTGGTGGGAAGCAGACACCAGCAAATGCCTGGACTTCCAAACTGGAAAAGCTAGAAAGACCAATTTCCTGTATTCGCTTTTGCCGACACCCTCCATTTCCCACCCCCAAGAGCTAGGACCCCGCTCAGCAGTCACACAGAGCGGTTTGTTCTCCCCGTTTCCCAGCCTGCTTCTGCAGCTTCTTTGGCAGCCCTGTCACTTGGTGTCCTAACCTCAGGGCCTCCACAGGACTGTTTTGTGTTGCTTGCAATGATGAACCCTGAACGCTACTTGCATTCAGCAGATGCTCTGAGGAAGGAATACAAAGGACTTGTTTTTTAACAAATCATAGTCACCACGTCCTGCCAGATGGTAACGGGGGTTTTACAGCTGACCTGGGCCGAAGTGTCCGACGAAGTTACGAAGGATGGGTTCACCTCTCCGTGTGCGGGAAGCTAGGGGGCTCAAATCATCATTCCAAGACAGCTCAAGCCCAATCTTAAAGGAAAGAAGGGCTGGGAAGCACCTTGCTCTGATACTACACCCTAATGGGTAAAATAGGGACTTATACTGATGCCCAAGGGGGCTGCCAAAGAATGCCACGGGGCTGGTTGTGATGGCACATGTCTATGACCCCTGTACGCAGTAGGGTGACGGCAGAAGGATACCATGAGTTCGAGGCCAACCTGGGCTACATAGTGAGTTCAAGGCCAGCCTGAACTGCATAGCAAGACCCTGTCTCAAAAAACAAATAAGAACCAAAGAATGCCAGGGACAGATCTCCACAGTGCTAGATCCTATCAGAAGCCAAAGTGTCCAATATTGCAGAAAAGGAATACTTAGAAGAGAAACCTCTACCTCAGTCTTAAGAAGTAGCTGGGGGTAAAAATCAACCATGTACCTGAAGCTAACTCCAGGATGAACCAAGCCTTCTCCCAACTACGTACCGGCTGCGCAGTATGAAACAGCTGCTCTTCCTACCGAGGTTAATACAATGGGGAAAGAAAGCCTTCTCTGGATGAGCATACATGCCTAGTGTTAACAGGAGTGTTTATAGCCGAAAGCTACGGCTTGGCATTCTGCTTAATTATGTTGTAAAAGGGTGACTTTTATCAAGAGAGCAGAAAATAAACAACTTAATTCCCTGACCATGCTGGCTATAAACCAAAAGTGTCAGTGTATGAGTGTGATTACTCTAGCAAATAGATATTAGTATCGCCCTTCTTAGAGAGACACCAGCTTGATATTTATGAACACCAACCTCATTACACGTCATTTTTCTGTTTTAATGGGCTGTAGGAATGACATTATATAAACTTTGTCTCAGTTACTGATATTAAATCAACTTTGCAGCGGCCACACCACTACTGAAAAATAGATTATATTTCTCTTTCCCCAGCCCTCCCAGTAGGCTATAAGCTGCATAAGCTCCATGTGGCCAGAGCCCCATCTCTTTGGCTCCCCATCACGCCCACAGTGCCTAGCGGGGAGCCTTCACCCAGCAGCCGTTCAGGACAAGCTAACCAAGTGAATAAAGCTACATTAATTTCTTAAGACTTTGCACATCAAAGTCTATTAAAGCCACACTGGCCAAGAAGAGTTTAAAACCTCGCCAGAATAAACTAACGTGGAAATAAACTAGGAAATCAATATGAAGTCCTATCATGAAAATACACAGAGGAAAAAAATTGCGCTCAGAGCCAGTGAGATCAAAGAAACAGCAAATTTCCACAATTACCCTTTCCTGCTGTCAAAAATGGCTGAATTACAGAGACTCAAATGAAGTGGCCGGCTTACCATGAAAAGATTCAGAGCGCTGGACTCTCTCTGTATTGAAATCTCACTTCTAGGTATTAAGTAACTGACTAGAAAAGTGTGTGGTTTCCAGGCAGACATGAGTTCAAATCCCAGCTCTGATCACAGACTTAGGTGTGTGTACGGAACGAGTTATTTCATCTCCCTAAGCTTCTGTATTTGATTATCTACATTTCAGGAATGAAGCCAACATTAAATTCCATATTTATGGAAACACCTTATACAATGCCTGTGACAAATACTTCCTGTTTGTATATTAACATGGACATAAGAAATGTGCCAGGACTGTAGGTAAGTCCTGGACTTAAAAGGTGAATTCAAGACAGCTTCATAGAGCCCATTAACTGTAGCCCCACCATGACAGTCTGTGTCACGGGCTTCGAACAGTGTATATCAATCACTGGTGAGCTGGCTTTCAATCCTTTTTTTTTTTTTTTGAGACAGGGTCTCCCTATGCAGTTCAGGCTGGCCTTGAGCTCACTTATATAGCCCAGGCTGGTCTTGAATTCACAACGATCCTCCTGCCTCAGCCTCTGGAGTGCTGGGATTACAGGTGTGCACCACCATGCCTGGCCCTGACTTTCAATCTTAAGCGAAAGAGTTCGAGGAATTCATAATATATGCAAATGAAGATATCAAGTGGGTGTTTAAATATAGGAGCTACAAGTTTGGAGATAGTACAGTTTGAAAGTGATTATGTATGGATCGTAATAGAAACCACAAGCATTGATGAAACTGACTGCCTGAAAGACTAAGAGACTAGCACCCTGGAGAGGCCAACACCTGTCATCTGACTCCGGCAAAACTGGGAAGAGCAGAAAAGCCCATGAGACCCGTCCTGGAGCATGGTCTCTGTGCTGTGGTTGGATAGGTGTTCCCTAAAGACACCGTGTCAAAGGGCTGGCCCCAGACTATGGCACCCCAGGGAGGTAGTAGGATCTTGGGGGGGTGTAGTGGCAAGAAGGTGAAGCATCAGGAGGTGTGCCCATGAGGAGAGTGTTGGGGCTCCATCGCTTTCCTATCTCCATTTCTGCCTCCGCCTGCTGAAAGATGAACGTCTTCCTCTGCCACAGGCTCCCACCATGACGTGCTACCTTGCCATAGGCCCAAAAGCAACCAAGACGGCTCACCATGGTCCAAACCAGGAGCCATGATAAGTATTTCCTCCTTACGATGGATTATCCAGGTATGTGTCTCAGGGACAGAAAGCTGATGAACAGAATCTGGGAACTGCAACTGTCCTGGAAGTTTGCAATGGCAAACAGGAACACTGAAGAGGCAGATTTATTTAAAGTTGGCTTATTTATATAACGTTGACTAGAAATCAATTATTCCTCAAAATGTCAGGCCCTCATTTCTAGTGGTCTAGGGCTTATATGGGATAAGCAAGCAGGAAGTACAGAGGCAGAATGGCTTGGCAACTGGGGATTGGTTCTTACAATACGCATCATAGAGACCAGCCATGCATTACAGTGACCAGCCATTTCTAAAAAACAAAAGTAGCAGGAACTGTAACCAGAACTATTACCTGGTCAACTAAGAAACTGAAGTGTACTGGCTGGGAGGGGGCGTCTTCTGCTACACTTCCCCCTCTTTTAGCTTCCCCAGCAAGTCATTGCTGGCCATGTTACATGTGATCTTTTGAGAAAGGCCCAAGTAGAAGAAGTCACAAAAGGCAAGGGGAATAGGTATGGAGCAGTCCTGTGAATGGTGTCCTCAGGCTTCAGCATCCAGAGTGACCAGAGCAGGGCTTTGAGTGTGTCATCTCTTCAGAGTGAGCCCTGAAGGAGTTGTCCAGGTAAATTCTCCAAGACTCTGGAATGATGGATCTAAAGCTGGATTTCTGAAAGTTGTAGAGGTAGCTAATATGTACCTGGGTTATATGTGTGTGCAGGAATGAGCTGATCTCTTAGCTAAACTTTTATAGAGCCAGTTACAAGATGTTTCTATAGGGTTATGTTTTATTTTATCAACTTTTTAGAGCTTGTGGCCTGTACGCTGTGTGTAGTTTTTACTTAGTTATCTCTGCCACAAATGCAAGCCCGTTATTGTTGCCAATGATCAAGGGTGGGCCATATCTAGGGATGACTTTTTATAGCAGGACCCTACAAGCTTTTATTGCCCTCTCAGTTTGGGTAGGGAATGCCTTGGGCCAGCCCAAGTAGATGCATCTTTAAATGGGGGGAGGTCAGGGCCAGTGACATAATTGATAAAGCCTGAGCTGGCAGCAGAGGTACAGGTGCCAGTGCTATGGCCTGAGCTTGCAAAACCAACAGTGGGAGCAGGTCTGGCTCTGATCTTCCAGGAGTACTGGGTAAAGTTTTTCTGGCTGGGGTTGATGCTTCAGTCAATCAGATCCCCAGCGTGGGCTTAGCCTCTGGATCAAATTATTTTCTATTGGTGGCAGATTTCCAAACAGCAGCAGGAAGCAGTAGCAGGACAGCTTTGGCCAAAATAGCTTTTCCAAGGCGACCACAGCATATTTGGCCTGTTGGACTCCTTTCCTAACAGAGCTACATCCACCCAGAAACAGGGTATACTCAGCATCTGTCAGGGGGGTTATTTTTTAGTTATGGTCTGGTGGGCCCAGCTTTGCTGGCAGGTATGTGGTAGGACTGAGTGGTCCACAGTTATTTAGGACACCCAGTAATAGACAACCAGGGTTGCTGGGAGCCCTATATCACAATCTTTTTGTTTTGTTTTGTTGGTTTTTTTGTTGTTTCTGTTTTGTTTTATTTTTTGAGACAAGGTCTTGCTTTGTAGTCCAGGCTGGCCTTGAACTCACTGTGTAACCCAGGTTGGTCTCAAATTCATTGTGATTCTCCTGCCTCAGTCTCCTGAGTGCTGGGGATACAGGCTTGTGCCACTACACCCAGGTGTCTGTCACAATCATCTTTTATTTAAAAAAAAAAACATAATCTAGAAAAATAATTGACAATATTTCTAAAACACTTGAGTTTTCAAAGACTTTCATCAAAATTATTTCATCAAAGGGTAGCAACCTCTGAAAAACACACGGTTCTCCCAGTGCAGTCATGAGGTGATAAAGACCCAGAAGGGTACATGACTTTGCCCAAGGACACAGAACTAGAAAGTGGGAGATAGCAGACCTGAGCTCAGGCCAGCTGACCTCAGAGGTTTTCTTCTCTTACCATGTACCTTCCCCACTCCTGAGCACAGCTCCAGGCCCAAGGCAGCATTGTGAACCAGAAAGAAAATATATGTTCACCCAAAGCCAGGCATAGTGGTGCACATCTGTATTCCCAGCACTCAGGAGGCTGAGGCAAGATGATCTCTATGAGTTTGAAGCCAGCCTGAGCTACACAGTGAGACTCTGTCTCAAAAAACAAAAAAGAAAGAAAGAAAGAAAGAAAGAAAGAAAGAAAGAAAAAAGAAAGAAAGAAAAAGAGGAAAAGACATTCACCCAAAGACCAGAGAAGCAAGGTGCTGTTCGTAAAAGCTTTGTGCTCTGAGGCTGAGAGAGGGTTCAGATCCCACCTCACCAGTGTGACTGTGGACAGTTGCTAGTCTCCAGTTCCTTGTGTATTAGGAGGTCTGATGCAGAATCTACCTCCTGGGGTTGTCAGGAGGGTGACATGACATCATGCATCCAAACGTTAGTGATGGTTAATACTGCCTACAAAAGAAGCTATGTTTCTGAACAGAGTCACAAACTCTGGAGTAACACGGGGCCTGTGTTTGTATGTCACTCATAAGATGCAGGGGAACCTGGATAAAGAACTCACCCTCAATTTCCTCACCTGTAAAAAGGGGATGATAACAATTCCTACCTAGATTATTATAGGAATTAAGATTATTGTAGGAATTAACTCTCATACCCAACAGTGGGAGTTAAACAAGTGATAGTAATTGACACATTTAAAGTTCTCAACTGCTAGGTGTGTTGGTGTATACCTGTAATCCCAGCACTCAGAGGCTGAGGCAGGAGGATCTCTGAGTTTGAGGCCAGCCTGGGCTACATAGCAAGTTCAGAGCCAGCCTGAACTTCATAGTGAGACCCTGTCTCAAAAAACAAAAACAAACAAAAAAAATAAAGTCCTCAAGCAGTAGCGTCGTATCACTGTGGTCCTCAATCATTTTGGCTACACTGACAGCCCCGACTCCCTGAGGGCAGACCGGAGGGGCGGGTGTGGGAAACCACAGTCACCTGGCCGGAGCTTCCCGTCTCTAGCTGCAGCCCCCTTCCTGATGAGGTGGGTGATCTGCAGGTAGGGCCCGTGCTGGATGATGATCAAGCCTAAGCCCAGGCCGCCCACAGTGAGTTTGGTCTGCGTCGTTTTGCTCAAGTCGTGCACAGAAGGCTTGAACTTAAGCCTGCCTCGTCTACCTAAGAGAGAGAGGGGGAAATTTGTTTCAGTAATCGATTGAGACAGCAGTGTAGCAGTGTCCCTGGGGTTCTCCAGCCAGACTGCTGGGACAGTTACATAACCTCCCTATTCCTCGGGGTCCTGGTTGGTTAAATGAGGATAATAAAAAAAAAAGTGCTATGAGAATTAAATGAGACCATTAAAGGGCTTCTTCATAGTGCCTGGCATATCCAGGTGCTTAATCAATATCAGTTATTATTATCCAGTCACTTAAACAATTGATGTGGGCATGCCGGGCTTGGCGGCACACACCTGTACTCTCAGCACTTGGGAGGCTGAGGCAGGAGGATCACTGCAAGTTCAAGGCCAGCCTGGGCTACAAACTGAGTTCAAGTCCAGCCTGAACTACATAGCAGGATCCTGTCTCAAAAACCAAACAAACAAAAACTCAAAAATTGATACAGCGTGTTTAGACCCTGGTTTTACCATGGTGAGACAAAGAGATGTGTTTCTTGCCCTTAGGGATCTTACAACCCAGTGGAGGAGAGAGATATCAGCCAGTTATGGAAATATAACTTGATAGCAAACAATAACAAGCTATGAAACAAAAAGACGAAAGATCTGAGGTAGCTGGGCGTGGTGTCACACGTCTGAAATCTCAGCACTTGGGAGGCCGAGGCAGGAGGATCAGGAGTTGGAGGCCAGCCTGACTACAGAGTGAGACTCTGTCTCAAAACACAGAGAAAAGAAAAAAAAACTCTGAGACTGAATAACAGGGGATGAAGGTCTTATCTGGGGAAGGTAGGTCAGGCTTCTCTGAGGGGGTAAATATGAATTAAGGTTGAAAGGATCAATAGGAATCATTTATACAGAGGAGGATGGGAACGAGCAAAGTGCACCAGGCTCTGACACAGGAGGCCCTGCGAAGATCAAGAAGGAGATGAGGAAAGGGGGCGAGGCAGGAGGCCGAATGGCTGTGCCAAAGCTGAACGCCATCAGATTTGCTTTTGAAACAGAAATAATGCTAAGCCTCTGGCTGCTTTGCCGTGTGTGGACTGCAGAGGGCAGAGTGCAGGGGAGGAGAGAGGGGCACTGCGGCACCTGAGCAGGGCGGCGGTGCCTGTGGAATGGACAGCGGACGGACCGAAAAGCGCTGGGAGGAAGAGCCAAAGGCTCTGGAGACAGTGTCACGGGAGGGGCTGGAACAGGTTTTCTCCAGAACCGAATCTCCCAAGAAAATTCTGGCGACTAAGCATGATTTAGGACAAATGATTTTCCTGCAAGGAAGCTTCCAGAAGGTTTCTTTTTCGGTACACAGGCGGTTTCTGGAGAGAACTCTTTCCAGCACACCTTCCCGGCACGCTGTAGTACAACTCCTCCCACCAGGACGAGCGGCACTGTGTGACTTCAGGGCCCTTGCTGGGAGCAGCTGGCCCGGCTCTGTGGGGCCGGTGGGGTTTATCGCCCTTTGCTCAGAGCAGAAGGCCTTGGCCGCCTCCCACCTCTTCTTCCTCCAACCACAGTATGGCTGGACAACAAAATAACAGCGTAAAGAAGATGTGGTCTTCCAAGCCAGGGTTTGGGGAGCACTTGAGGGCTGGGCCATGCTCTCTTTGAGCCTCTGGCTCCCGAGCACATCGTTCCAGGCAGGGTCTGGGCTCCAGCTTCAGCTGAGACTCCACAAAGCCTAGTTTCAAAAGGCAGCAGGGTTCGGTAAAAGAAGTCAGACTTGCCGGGCTTGGTGACACACGCCTGTAATCCCGCACTTGGGAGGCTGAGGCAGGAGGATGGTTGCGAGTTCGAGGCCAGCCTGGGCTACAAAGTGAGCTCAAGGCCAGCCTGAAGCACATAGCAAGATCCTGTCTCAAAAAAGACAAAAAAAAAGACTCAAAAAGCTCCCTTCATAATTCCACTTTTATGGCATTTTCCACGGAAAAGGCAAAAGGCGAGCAAACAAAGGAGAGTGTGAGCAATGAGGGCGGAGCAGGGCTTGGCCGCCACGAGGCCGCCGCAGGGCAGTCCGGGAGCGGTCGGGGGCTGCCCGTCTTGGTCGGCGGGGTGCAGCCTTAGATACGCGCCAGTCTACACTCAGACTACCCACTCGCGCGGGAGGGGGTCTCACTGCGTGTCAACGGTGCCCTGAGGGTAACGGCAAGGGTCTCACGAAGGACAGCAGGCGAGGAGGCCCGGGGACCCGGGGCGGCGCCCTCTCCCGCTCCCGTTACCGTTCTTGCTCTTCCCGGCTTCCTTCCCCATGGCCCAGGGGGAGCTGCCCGGCGAGGGCGGCGTCGCGCGGTGCCAACAGCTCGGAACCTGCGCGGCCGCCGCGAGGGCCCGCC